CCAACGTGACGTCGACGAAACTTGTCGCGATCATACCGTGTTTATGTTAATTAGCAGCGAAAAGCGACATTCCTTCTCTCTTCATTCCCTGGTCCCTGAACTACCAAGAGCCTTGTGAAGTGAAGAATTGAGGGCTGTTAAAGAGAATTTCTGGGGAAAGTTTATCAAGACAGTTTTGCAGACTGTAGTTTGCTCTGGGATGCCCTTGAGTGTTGACCTGGGCAGGTCAGCAGCTGATGTAGGTGCCCCAAGCTAGCAGAATACACGTCTCTCTGTGTACCCACCCCCCTCTCTCTCTCACTCTCTATGAATCTCTCTCTCCCTCCCATATTTTATGATATCAGAGACCTGGAGTTGCACTATTTCCACACACACACACATTAGGAACTGAGAAATAATAATTTATGAAGGGCCTGGAGCATAAAATGGCAAAATGCTGAGGTGCTATCAGTAGGTGGCAATTTATCTGACAGTGTGTCACTTTGATGACATTTTTACTACTCCTCCATGTTTTACTACTCCTCCATGAATTATGAAGAGGTTATTCCCTAACAAACTTAAAGCGGATATCTTTGTTGAGTTACATTTATTGTAGAACTTTCACAAAAATGTAAACAGTTTTTTTATATAAAAAAAAAAAGAGTTTCTTTTCATTTCTGTTGTGAACTTCATTGGTAGGGGAAGGCATAAAAATAGTGGCAGGGCCCTTATCTGGATGTTAAAAGATGGAAAATTAATCAGGATCCTATAGATGCTATTATGGTCTGGAGATGTCAGTGGGTTAATTTGCAGAGAAACTATTGCTACTTTCTTTGTCATATAATCTTGCAGATTTCTCAAGTCTGGTACCAACTTTAGATCTTCATGCATTGAAGTCACCGGCATACTTGCCCACTTCTCATCCCTTTGTAGTTAAAAGCTTCAGCTGGTTGTCTGTTTCCGGAAGGACTACCTCATTTGTTTTTCTATAATTCCAGGATTGTTTCCATGGAGTAATGTTATTTCAGTTTTATTTATATGATAGTGAAAGTTGGAGAGCCATTGGAGGTATGGAATGACATGCATTCAAAAGCAATTGCCTGATGAGAATAATGAACATAAAATGGGGATGAATTCAAGAGGTGTTAAGAACTTAGAGAATTGTCTGGGCAGCCACTAGTAACAATACCTGTAGGGCAGAGAAGATGGCGCTGTATTCGTCCCATTCTGAGAAGAAGTGTACAGAGCATCACCAGACAGGAACTGAAATGGGAAATAGGGAGATTGAGGAAATGAGGATACCTAAGAGTAATGCAAAAGTTGATGAAGGAAACCAAAATTGCTGGACTGGATTTCATCCTAGGTATTGAAGTGATGGCGCAGACTAGAACAGAACGAAGGAATGCGTTGCCAGCCCTGGGTGACATAAAGTAAAGGACCCTTTTCCAAGTCTTCAAGTGTACTGGGCATATAGGGCTAGATGTATATTTTATAGACCAGTCCGCATTGGGTGGGTGAGGGTGTTAGCATCACGCCAGCCACCTTTACTTCCCAGGGCTGCACCTGGTACCCACTCAAGGCTGGGTTGACCTGAGAGCCAAGGACATTTAAAAAAAAAAAGTCAGGCTCTGACACTATGTGACAGATAATGAAGTAAGGATACCAAAAAACTATGTCTAAAAAGCTAAACAAAAGAGGGAAGGCGAGCAACATGCACAAAACACAAACATTTTACCTGAGTCTTTCTTGAACTTCACAACAGTAGCAAAGGGATGTCATGAATGGACATTGATGATGATATTCTTTACATTGTTTTTAAAAAAGTTCAAGCTTTGGGTGCAGACTTTGTCAGGGGGGTAGGTATGCAGTCATTTCTCTTGCTAGGCTCATGTGACCCAGAACTCGTTACTGTATTAAGAGGCAGATAATGACACAGGCTTAATTCGGATGAACCTGACATTGACAACAAAAACATGCCTGTTCCTAACAATCAGTTTTAATTAACTGGTGTTTTTCCCAGATCCTGGTTAACCACCTTTGCTTTCCTCAAGACTAATTGTCAGGCCAGTATTGTTGCAGGCTTGGTAGAAGCAATATATTGAGTTCTTGAGCTCTTCTAGGCTCTTGAGTGACAGCTGCGACATCAGAAAACAGCAGATCTCTCTATAATCTTCATTCTTGTTGCCTTTGCTTTTCTGATGATAGGGAGAAGAGTTATTTATTTTGTAAAGACCCACAAGTTTCTGAAATCTGGCACTGTTTAAGTTTTACAATTTATTTTCTTACCCATACCTCTGTCCATAATTGTATATTAAAGTCTGCAGGTTACTAAGAGTGCTATGATGTTACATAGAAGCTGTTCTGCTGTACGGCAGCGAATCTTGGAATGTCAGGGAACAAATTAAGAAGAATTTGGAAGCAACAGAGTTGTGGTTTTTGAGATGAATGTTACGAATACCTTGGACGGCCAGAGTAACTAACAAAGATTGTTTGAATAAAGCTAATAAAAGTAGATCTCTATGAACAACAATAAGAAGAAGACAAACACTGTTCTTTGGTCACATAATGAGAAGAGAGGCATTGGAAAACATCGTGACAACTGGAAAGATCAGTGGAAAGAGGGGTAGAGGTAGACTAAAAGAGAGGATGCTGGATGGGCTGAAATGATGGCATGGAGGGATATCATCAAGAGGCTGTTCCAGGCAACCAGGGATCGTGATCCATGGAGATGCATGAGCGCTTACGCCAGTTGGCAGGGCACATGATGATGATGAGGTTACTGAGGCATTAGTGCTACATAACTGCTCTGTTTGTGTCCCACCACATGAAGTGTCTGTCACCCTATTTAAAAACTAGTAAACATATCAGCTCAGTGAATACAGTGTACATGCATAAGGCAGCTGTCGGATGTGCGAAGACACACCCTATTGCATGTTACTGTTGATGCAAACAGACACTTATGAAAACCAGCAAACATACACACAATTTTGCATAAGTACACACTGTTCCAAACAAGATTGGCCATCCACCTGTTTTAATGCATACAACATAAAGCCCTAACAAGCACAACAGAAAGAAAAATTTTCTACTTGAAACTGGCAGATCACTTTGTCACACCAAGCACTAACCTCAGTAGCTAGGTGATGAAACCTTTGGACCCCCTGTCCACAAATAGGGTATTTGCATCCCAAAACACTGGCTGGAAACAAGTAACTTCAGAGTTTTGCCAGCGATCTCTCGTACTGGACCAGAAATCCAGATCAAAGAATAACACTGCAGCCTACCTTGAAGAAAAAAAAAACCTGACATCCCCTACATGATCTGAGCATCAAGGAGAATTGGCTCATAAACAGCATCCTGTCCCAGAAGCAGAAGTATTTTAGCCATGTTAAATATCATGGTGCCCTGGAGAGAACTGTAACTGAGGTCGAGCTAAGACACTAAAGTTGCATTGCCTACGAAAGCATTTAGAGCTGGAGGAAAGAGACGCTTCCTGATGTACCGTGATGAGAGTGATGTTCTCTTAAGGATCCCTTAACTGATGATAAACCTTCTTGGAAGAGAGGGCTAAGGAATGTTGATATAAGAATGACTTCCACAACCCATAGCCAACTTTAGCTACAGTACCCAACTAATCAAGTACAAGTCTATTAAGGGCTTAATGTCAGTTGGTGGAGAGCCTATGCTCCATTGTGAGATGTAAGGCAGAAGAAAAGGAATAACAATAAAAAAAAACAAAGGTACTCTAAATGCAAATACTGCCATTTGGGTGTGACAAGGTCATGCACTGCTTAGTTTGGGGTGGTATGCCAGCTTGTGCACCTGTGAGATGTGACGTGTGTGAAGTGACCTATGACACCAGCATGCATTCCTGCCATATCAGTTGCTAAAGGAACCCATGCATAAACCAGAAGCTAAAAATATCCACCAGTAGAATGTCTAGGAAAACATTGGCTTCATGCTGCTGTCCACTGTGTGAAAACGGAAGTCACTTTTTAATAATCCACAGATATAGAAAAAAAAAATGGAGAAATTGAAATCAACATTTTCTATTCACAAAGGTTACAATAAAAGGAAGCTTGAATGTGAAATCCACCCCCCCCCCCCTTTTCCCCCTATGTGGGTTCCAGGCCACATTCTGGGGAAGAAGAAAGGAATAGTCCCACTGCATCTCTATCAAGCATGTCATACAAGGCAACTGGGCAGTTTCTTTTGAAGCCAGAGTGCATCTGCCTGAGGGGCAAAGAACCAACAGTCAGCAAAGAGATTAGATAGATCTGTAAAACTGATGTGCATGAACAAATCAAGTTTTGGAGAGAAAAAAAGTCCAGAAATGGACAAACAGCAAGAGCTTTTTGCTGGAGTTTACAGCCGGCGGATGCTAAGGAGAAGAAGAATATACAATTTTGACAAGGCGTAGTTTAATTCATCAAGATATTAGTGTGTACTCTTATTTATACATTAGAATTCAGTTTTCAGTGTAACATATGCCCTTGACTAACTGAGCTGTTCATTCCCTTTTCTACTCACACTCACACCAGTATCTATTGCTTTTATCTGTTTCATGTTTCTTGATATGTTTATATTTTTATAAGTAAAGTAAGTAAGGACCCTTTCCCTAACTTCAGGCATATGGGGTTAGACCATATTTTATGGACCAGTCAACACTTGCTGGGTAATATGGTCAGCAATACACTGGTCACCTTGACTTCCCATGATGGTCCTTTAAATGTTTCTGTATTGTACACATGAAAACTTGGAACTATTGTACACTTGTCAGTGTTGAAGAATTGTACGCTTGTTAATGTCTCTGAATTATACACGTATGAATGTCCCTGTATTATACATGTATGAATGTTTTTGTTTTCTACATGAATGAATTGAATGCTGCTGTATTTTGTCTTTGCAGCATCAAGCCTGAACTTGTGTGTTTGACCATCCCCCATGTCCATCAGACTGTTGGTCCTATCTGTGAACATATTACTTACATTTTGCAGTCATGTCAAACTTGCCGTCGGGAGCGGAGAACGCCCCAAAAGAAAAAGTGTTCAAAGAAAAGGAAGGCATGCTCAACCGTCGACGGGGAGCCATGCGAAGACGCGTCCATCAGGTGAATGGACACAAGTTTATGGCCATGTTCTTTAGACAACCTACGTTCTGTTCGCTGTGTCGAGACTTTATATGGTGAGTTAACGGTGACGGTGTTCGTTATGTGTTTAATAATTTATTAATAACATAATCTTCTGTGGACTCAACTGTTTTTATTCCGCGTTTGGGTTCGGGGACCACATTTCAGGGAAGAGCAAGAATAGACTCGCGAAACCCTTCACCTCTTACAGGCATTCATTCGTTAGTTCATTCGTTTGTTAGTGCACTCGTTCGATGTAACAGACAAGTGATTAGGAGCATTTCCTTCACAGCTAGAGTTGGTCTGCCTGAGGGGTGAGGAGCAAACAGTTTACATACAGATAAGTGGATGAGCAACCAGAACTTTCTGCTGGTGTTTACAGCTGGTGAATGCGAAGAAGAAGAAGAAGATTCAGATTCTCACCCTTGATGTGTTCATCCTGCAGACTGTGTGGTCAGGCAGGGGAACAAGTCAACAAATAAATCTGGACAAATCTTGACTGTTGCAAGTCATGGTGGACAGACTTGAGTGCAGTGATACATCCTGTAGTGAGACAACAGTTTGTAAACTAAAGAGACATTAAACACAATCCAGTTACAATTTGATTGTGAGAACATAGGTATCCAGTCATGGAATGATGGGAGTGGGTACAAGAGTGCAACCACGAGACCCCAAATTTTTAGGTACCATCAGTGCTTGAGTGATTTGATGAATATTAGGGGTGGTAGCCACTGGTAGCTACCTGAGTGATTGATAACTGTAGCTGGCAGGCAAGTGTGGTAGCCACTGTAGCTACCTGAGTGATTGATAACTGTAGCTGGCAGGTAAGTGTGGTAGCCACTGTAGCTACCTGAGTGATTGATAACTGTAGCTGGCTGGCAAGCATGGTAGCCACTGTAGCAACCTGAGTAATTGATAACTGTAGCTGGCTGGCAAGCATGGTAGCCACTGTAGCTACCTGAGTGATTGATAACTGTAGCTGGCAGGCAAGTGTGGTAGCCACTGTAGCCACTGTGAGATAAACAGGCAAGTGTAGCCACTGTGATAACTGTAGCTGGCAAGATGTGGGTGGCTGATTGATAAAGCAGGCAAGTGTGGTAGCCACTGTAGCTACCTGAGTGATTGATAACTGTAGCTGGCAGGCAAGTGTGGTAGCCACTGTAGCTACCTGAGTGATTGATAACTGTAGCTGGCTGGCAAGTGTGGTAGTCACTGTAGCTACCTGAGTGATTGATAACTGTAGCTGGCTGGCAAGTGTGGTAGCCACTGTAGCTACCTGATTGATTGATAACTGTAGCTGGCTGGTAGCAAGTGTGATAACTGTAGTAGGCCACTGAGTGATTGTAGCTGGCTGGCAAGTGTGGTAGCCACTGTAGCTACCTGAGTGATTGATAACTGTAGCTGGCAGGCAAGTGTGGTAGCCACTGTAGCTACCTGATTGATTGATAACTGTAGCTGGCTGGCAAGTGTGGTAGCCACTGTAGCTACCTGAGTGATTGATAACTGTAGCTGGCAGGCAAGCGTGGTAGCCACTGTAGCTACCTGAGTGATTGATAACTGTAGCTGGCTGGCAAGTGTGCTAGCCACTGTAGCTACCTGAGTGATTGATAACTGTAGCTGGCAGGCAAGTGTGGTAGCCACTGTAGCTACCTGAGTGATTGATAACTGTAGCTGGCAGGCAAGCATGGTAGCCACTGTAGCTACCTGAGTGATTGATAACTGTAGCTGGCAGGCAAGTGTGGTAGCCACTGCACAGCTAAGATGGCAGTAGTTATAATCAGTGCATGTTGATGTCTGCCGAGAGAGACCATACTCCAAGGTGTGTCCTGAGTGCTGTAGCATTGCTTCTGTGACCTGGCAGCCAATAACAGACAATTATCCCTGATGTACAAATACTGAAATGATATCAATGTTGTGGCCATCAGATGCCATCTAATCAAGAAATATGCAAAATTCAACATTTTCAGCCTGCCACAGGGGTAACAGAATCCTTAACTTGTGCAGCCCAACCATATTTCAGGTCAAGGCCGGGTACCTTTATGTAGTGTTTGAATACTTCATGTTCATATGTGTTAACATTATGTCGGAATATGTTAATGTTGCGTGGATATTCATTAATACTCTAGACCCTGTTCTGCCTTTCAACTTCAGGTTTTAAAGAGGCATCATTTGTGAGCCATGATATGTGTGACCTAGATGCTGTTATTTACAGTGGGCGTCAGATATTCCATCTATCCATCACTTGTGTGGTTGGCCTCTAATGCCTCCATTATGTCTAAAGTTACAGGGCTCTCTCTCTGGTGGTAGTCTTGAAACATGTCCAAACCATTTGATTTGTTGTCTCTTTATGTATATTTTGTTTGATATATGTTACCATTATTTTGATATATGTTAATATAATGTTGATATATATATTAACATTATGTTGATATATGTTTTGATTATATCAGAATATGTTATAGCTATGTTTATATGTGTTAAAGTTGTATTCTTTTCTTTTTTCTGTGTAACAGGGGTCTTGGCAAGCAAGGTTACCAGTGTCAAGGTGAGTCTTGTATCTGTACGATTGAAGTTTTGGCCATTTTTTATTTTGTAGTTTCTGTTATTATTAGGGCTGTACCGAATAGTGATTTTCACTATTCGGCTGAATACGAATAATGGGACCAACTATTCGGTCAAATACGAATACCAATACAAATAGTGTATTGTGTATAACATATATCTATTTTAAAAGAACACACACACACACACACACATTCATACTGTCAAATGTACGCTAAACTTTTACTTCACATAAAGTAGCACAGAATAGTCATCTACTTCTTTAGCATTATAAGCCCTTGAGGTTTACTGCTGCAGATATCACTCGTCTCCATTAATCTCTCTGGCTGGCCTTATCTTCACAATTTGTGACACCAGTTGTTTGCAGGTCTGACTGGACATTATCTCAAAAACTTTTTTTTTTTGGCTGCCTTGCGGTCTACGCCCATTTCTCTCTCAGGTGTATACAGTTTTACTTCTCTGTCATCTGAAATTTTTTTCAATATGCCCCAACCAGTTTAGTCTGTTAGCTCTCATGATGCCAGTGATCAATAGTGATTTAAACAGATTATGTGTTATGTTGTTGTTTCTCACTCTCCATTCCCCGCTGTTATCATCTTTGATGGGTCCAAAGATTTGTCGTAAGACTGTTTTAGAAAACCTGTAATAAGGCCTCATCTCTTTTATTTCTGCTTCAGAGCCATATAACACGACTGGTCTTATCAAGGTTTTGATGTTGGTGTTGCGAGACAGCACTTTGATTTTAGCAGATGTTGAAGGGCATAGTATACTTTATTTCTAGATTGTATTCTAGATTGTATTTCTTCTCTCAGCATGTTAGAGCAGTTGAAGTTTGCACCCAAGTACTTATATGTTTCCGTTCGTTTGATTTTCATATTATCGACTTGGATGTGGCCGGAGTTTATATTCTTTCCATGTCTAGTTAGTATTCGTACAGAATAGTAAACATTTAAAAACATTTTATGTTTTGCATCCTTCAGTCAGTCTGTGGTACTATTAACTAGGAATGAAAGAATCCTAAGTATTATAACAAGTAACTAAACTTGGAAATTGTCAATGACAGCTTAGTTAATGCAGGAAATCTGCATTAGGTTTCAACAAAACCAATCGTTCCATGTTGTCAGTATTAAGGCCGTGTATGCAGAAGCGAGTGTAAGGTAACTACTATTCGTATTCGGCCTGACCGCAATTATTTGGCCGAATACCGAATAGTCAATAGGTCCACTATTCGGTCCCGAAGCAAATACGAAGCGAATATTCGGTACAGCCCTAGTTATTATATCTGAGCTAGTTTGATAATTCTTTCCCTGACTTTTTAAATAAGAAATTACTATTTTTTCCAGTAAGAAGTGACAGTTTTTTCAATAAGAAAAAGCTGTATTTCTTTTTTTTTTTTTTAAATAAGAAAAAACTATTTTTTCAATAATAAGAAATTGTTTCAATAAAAAATGGCTACTTTTTCAATAAGAAATTGAAATTTAGTTTCAATAAACAATTGCAATTTGTTTTCTTCAAAAAGAAAAGACTTGTTTTTAATGTGAAATGGCTTTTTTTTTTTGAATAAGAAAGGACTATTTTTTCAGTCAGAAATGGCTATTTTTTTCAATTAGAAACTGCAGTGTTTTTTTTTCCAAAAAGAAGTGACTTTTTTTCAATCATAAATGGCTATTTTTTCAATAAGGAATGGCTATTTTTTCAATAAGTAATAGCTAATTTTTCAGTAAGAAATGGCTATTGTTGCCAGTTATTGCATCTAGGATAGCAATACAGTTGTTAAAATGTGAACTTAATGGGGCAGGAATGGATATTATGACGTAAGAACAGGAAGATTGCAGGAGAAGAGAGAAGGCCAGGAGAGAAGATGTGAGGTAGTTTGGCCTCATTGCACGGAGGAACTGTTGAACGCGTGAGGGGGACATTGCATGCTTGGAAGAGTATCTCGGGCAGGATTGTTCAGCAATGTTTACACAGGGGCTACAATTTTGAAAATGGGGATCATCGCAGACCAGATACTAGAGCCCCAGCATAGAAGATCATTAATATAATACAGTTTGCAATGGTCTATGGGCACTTGCTAGGGCTTTGGGGGCCAGATTCAGTCCGTGGGCTGCTTGTTGAATAGCCCTGATCTAGGGTATGATTACATTCGAGTCACATGCACAAGAGACTGACAGCAGGAAGACTGTAACCAAATCAGGTTTACAACTATCCCACAAACTTGTATGATGTACCACCAAACGTCATCTATGCTAGTGCAGTCAGCCTGGTTTATTATGGATGCACACATTGCTACGATGAATTGATGATCTTTGAATAAATACTGTCTGTCTGCCAGTTTCTGCCACATACATAGAAAGATGCCACCTATTACCTGTATAAATGGCTGTGTGCTCCTTCACACTCCTGTGCTCCTCTGGGATCACATGTAGACCTGGTAAAATAGCTAGATAAGCCATAATACATTCCATAGGAAATGATGTCCTGGCATCCCTGCACAACATCAAGTGGCCAACAAAATCTGTGGACGGGTTATCTCTTCTGTGGTGTCTGCTCTCACTGTCAAAATTCAGAATTCTAATACACCAATTCAGCTGGACGGCCCATGAGCTTCAGCAGCATAAATTCACACACATCTGTGTGCTCCAGAAGTTCTCGCATGGCCAATCTTTTTCACTAACTGGGAGCAGCCAAAGGAATCTGCTTCTGGGTTCTCCACCAATGGTCAGCTCCATGTGGGTCTCACACTTTTTACGCAGCCTTTGTCGGTGGCTACAACTCCGAGTAGAACTTGCCTGTCACAACTTTTATGCGACTCAAGTTTGACACTCATCTTGGTCAACTATATCATAAATATTAATGTGTACTCTCACACACACCATGACCTTTGGCATATTTGTTACCAATGCAAGTTAGCATACAATGGGAAAGTGTGTCTGAAATGTTTGGCAGTACGTGGAACAGAATCTGTAGACAATCAGGATGTCCAGTGCAACATGCTTAAACTATGAAAATGGATGTATCAAGACTTGCACATATATATCCTCTTTAAATTCTCCAAAAAACTCCACTTTGAATTCCATGGAACATTATTGGGAATATAAAGTTGGTCTTAAGATCAACAAGGATGAATTGGCATGACCAGCTAATGAAAGTGTGAGCTGTAACAGAACTATTATGTGAATGTATTCTGCCATCCCCATATGGTTTTGGGTCAAGAGAGTAGACTTACTGCTTTCCTAACACACATGTCATAAGAGTCAGCTCACTGGGGATTTTCTTCGAAGTCAGAGTGCCTGAGGCAAGGAGCCAGCATTCTGCATACAAATAAGGCACATCTGTAAAACGGATATGCACACAAAACTCAAGTTCTGAAGCAAGAACAAAGTCCAGAAGTTGATGAAAAACTAGAACTTTCTCTCAGAGTTTACAGCCAGTGAAGGTCAAGAAGAAGAAGACATTCAGCTGGGAGGGAAGAAGGACAGCAAAGAAAGAAAGATTTTATAATTTCATGATAAATCAAAACTCAACATCTTCATTGAGCTTGTAACTATGTACAGATTTATTATTATTGTTCGGGGTGTGTATCAGTTGGTCAGGTTTGTCACACAGTTCAGTGAAAATAGATGCTAAATTTGAAGAAATGTTTTTGAATAAAATACAAAACTTAACTGTCTTGATAATTGTGTTCCTTATCAGTGGATACTAATGTAGCCTGTGTCTCTTAGCTAACTGTAACTGCTAGAGACAATACTTCAACCATTTTGGAAATTAAGAACAAAATCACATCTTTCAGTGAATAGTATTCTTGTCTTCAGTTTGTCACCCATTGGAGCACAGGTCCCCGACCATGTGTGGACAGGTCCCCGACCATGTGGGGACAGGTCCCGACCATGTGTGGACAGGTCCCCCACCATGTGTGGACAGGTCCCCGACCATGTGTGGACAGGTCCCGACCATGTGGGGACAGGTCCCCGACCATGTGTGGACAAGTCCCTGACCATGTGGGGACAGGTCCCCGACCATGTGTGGACAGGTCCCCGACCATGTGGGGACAGGTCCCCGACCGTGTGGGGACAGGTCCCCGACCATGTGTGGACAGGTTCCCAACCATGTGTGGACAGGTCCCGACCATGTGTGGACAGGTCCCAACCATGTGTGGACAGGTCCCCGACCATGTGGGGACAGGTCCCGGACCATGTGTGGACAGGTCCCCGACCATGTGGGGACAGGTCCCGGACCATGTGTGGACAGGTCCCCGACCATGTGTGGACAGGTCCCCGACCATGTGTGGATAGGTCCCCGACCATGTGGGGACAGGTCCCCGACCATGTGTGGACAGGTCCCCGACCATGTGTGGACAGGTCCCCGACAATGTGTGGACAGGTCCCCGACCATGTGTGGACAGGTCCCCGACCATGTGGGGACAGGTCCCCGACCATGTGGGGACAGGTCCCCGACCATGTGGGGACAGGTCCCCGACCATGTGGGGACAGGTCCCCGACCATGTGGGGACAGGTCCCCGACCATGTGAGGACAGGTCCCCGACCATGTGTGGACAGGTCCCGACCATGTGTGGACAAGTCCCTGACAATGTGTGGACAGGTCCCTGTATCCTCAGCCAGATACCAACGCTTCCAAATACTTTGTCTGTTACACTCTTTCATGTATATTTTCTCCCAACATCTCTCTTATTTGTATGTTTCTGCACATCATATCTTTCTTCTTTGTGTTAAAGTTCTAATTATTTGGTCATACACATGTTATTTAGAATTCTAGTGATTTTATCACACTCCATGTAAGTGTTCATTCAAGTTCCAGTTATTTCACTGACACTGTTGAATAGATCATGTAGAAGGATTATTGTGTGTAGCCACATGTGTTTGTGTGTAGGTGACGTTTTTAGACTTCTTAAATGCTGAATTTGTTTGCTTCACAGTGTTTACATGTGTTGGGTACTGAATTTGTTTGTCACAGTGTGTACATCTGTTGAACACTGAATTTGTTTGTTTCACACTGTGTATGTTTGTTTGACACTGAATTCATTTATTTCACACTGTGTACATCTGTTTAACACTGAATGTTTTTTTTTACAGTGTGTACATGCGTTGTGCACAAACGATGTCATCAGCACATTGTCACTAAATGCCCTGGATCAAGAGATGTCACATCAGATGAGGTAAGTCAGCAAAGAATCTTTTTTCATGCTAAATAAACTTCAAAATCATAAAAGCTACACACACACAGAGAAAGAATATACATACAATTATATACTGTATTTTTCCAAGCATTAGACGAAAACATGTATAAAGCACACCTTGATTCTGAGACCAGAAATTATGTAGAAAAAAATACGATTACTTAGTTATTGAACTCACGATTTGTTTACAATAGAATCTAGAAAATTCCTTATCACCATCAAAACTCTCATCCATATGATAGTTCTTTTAGCTCGTCCTCGTCTGTTTCTGATGACAAATCACTGTCTTAATATATTGCTTATCCTCAATTCCATCTGTCCCCCGTGTGGGTTCCGGGGCCCCATTGTGGGGAAAATAAAAATAGACCCACTGCCTCCCCAAAAGCATGCCGTAAGAGTCGACTAATTGGGGAGCTTCCTTTGAAGTCGGAGTGCATCTGCCGGAGAGGCAAGGAACCAACAGTCTCTATTCAAGAGAATGAGATCTGTAAAACTGATGCACACGCAACACTCAGGTTCTGGAGCAGGACTGCAGTTCATTAGTGGACGTGCAACCAGAACTTTCCGCCAGAGTGTACAGCTGGTGAACGCGAAGAAGAAGAAGAAGAATTCCATCTGTGGTATTGGAAATGTCATTCTTCTTTAACAACTTGACAGCAATCTCAGACTTCACATTATCCCATGATGTGTTCACCAATCTACAGTCTTCACATTATCCACATGATCTATTCACCCATCTACAGTCTTCACATTATCCCATGATCTATTCACCAATCTACAGTCTTCACATTATCCCATGATCTATTCACCAGTCTACAGTCTTCACATTATCCCATAATCTATTCACCAATCTACAGTCTTCACATTATCCCATGATCTATTCACCCATCTACAGTCTTCACATTATCCCATGATCTATTCACCAATCTACAGTCTTCACATTATCCCATGATCTATTCACCAGTCTACAGTCTTCACATTATCCCAAAATCTATTCACCAATCTACAGACTTCACATTATCCCGTGATATGTTCACCCATGACAGGCTTCACCTTATCCCATGATCTGTTCACCCATCTACAGACTTCAAATTATCCCATGATCTATTCACCAATCTACAGACTTCACATTATCCCATGATCTGTTCACCAATCTACAGACTTCACATTATCCCATGATCTGTTCACCCATCTACAGACTTCACATTATCCCATGATCTATTCACCCATCTACAGACTTCACATTATCCCATGATCTGTTCACCAATCTACAGACTTCACATTATCCCATGATCTGTTCACCCATCTACAGACTTCACATTATCCCATGATGTGTTCACCAATCTACAGACTTCACATTATCCCATGATATTTACCAATCTACAGACTTCACATTATCCCATGATCTATTCACCCATCTACAGACTTCACATTATCCCATGATCTGTTCACCAATCTACAGACTTCTCCTATAGTTGGTTTCTTCACACTATCTTCTGGTGTCAGATGCCCCAGAAGACTTCATCCATTGGTTCCATTTGTCTCTCATGGCAGCTTTCAAGGATTTGTTAACCCTGACATCAAGTGGCTCAGTCTTAGTGGCCACAGGAATTCCTAATGTAACAAGCGTGAAACAATAAGCTTGAAGACAAGACAAATGGGAAATAATTTTTATTTGTATTCTTCCCCCACCATTTCATGTCACCCCTGAACCGCCATTGCAAAATGAGGTCCTATAGGGGATATTTTATTAAAGAATAATTTGGCAAAAATCTACTACAGTTGTAAAAGACAAACACTGTTTTTAGACCTTATATTTGTGGAAAATAAGTGTGTCTTAGACTTGGAGAAATACTGTACGTTTATTTGCATCTTTGCTGCTGCTATGCAGCTCATGGAATTGTAATCAGAGGAGATGAGCTCTTGTAGACACATCCATGGGCAGTGAACCTGATCGTTTGTAATCAGAAGAGATGAGCTCTTGTAGACACATCCATGGGCAGTGAACCTGATCGTTTGTAATCAGAAGAGATGAGCTCTTGTAGACAGATCCATGGTCAGTAAACCTGATTGTTTGTAATCAGAAGAGATAAGCTCTTGTAGACAGATCCACGGGCAGTAAACCTGATTTTTTGTAATCAGAAGAGATGAGCTCTTGGCAGTAAACCTGATTGTTTGTAATCAGAAGAGATGAGCTCTTGTAGACAGATCCATGGGCAGTAAACCTGATTCCTTTGTAGCTCCTCAGGAACCATAAAACTAAAAAAAAAATGTTAAGGACAATTTTTACCCGAGTGATGCAATGGGAATCTGATGTTAGACTCATATTTATTTTTAATAGACCTGTAAGCATTCGAGGAGGAGGGGGGGGGGGTGTCATCATCATCACACTGGTCACCTTTTCTTCCCATGATTTGTCCTGGTCCTTTTTCGTTAGGCTGGGTTGGGTTGACCTGGGAGCCAAGGTCAGTTTTGAAGACAAAAAATCAAGACCTAATGCAGGTTGCTAAAAAGTACTATATGTTAAATTGCTACTCAGAAATCTCATACAGTTTTTTTGATCATGCCATAATAATTTGATGTTTTATAGCTTGCAATATTGAGTTGCGGCAGGATGCTGACCACATAACCCGCCTTGTGCCCATTGGTCTATTAAATATAGGTCTAGCCCTATATGCCTAAAGGCGTGGAAAAGGGTCCTTTACATTACTGTGGGGGTACATCTGTTTGTATGCTTTTTATATGGGGATTCCTATACACTTCATTATTCCCTTTGTCCGTCATTTAGCACGACCAGTTTCTCTTTCCTTTCCAATTTGGTCTTTACATCATTGCTTGTTGTGGTATCATGTCTAGTAAAGGGGTGATTTATTGTCTTCTGAGCCTTTGTCTGCCTACCAGTGAAGGCTGTAGTGCCACCCATATCTTCCACTGATCTATACAGCTAGGTTTGTGTTCAAAAGATAACTGGTTAAACCTGGAATTTTCCTGTTTTTGGTGAAGAGCATGTCTGCTGGATATGTTCATTATTCTGTGTCTTTCCATCTGGGCTGAGTTGTGAGTCACAAATCTTTGATTTCTAATACATCTGGGCTGGGCTGATTTGTGAGTCCCAAATCTTTGATTTCTAATACATCTGGGCTGGGCTGAGTTGTGAGTCCCAAATCTTTGATTTCTAATACATCTGGGCTGGGCAAAGTTGTGAGTCCCAAATCTTTCGATTTCTAATACAAATGGCTGCAGAGTCTGTTATATCCAGTATATCGTTTAAACACACAGAAACTTTGTCTGTTGCTTTTGTGTGAGGAGGTTGATTGAGTCTTCATAACTGGGGGGGGGGGGGGGGAGGGGTGGTTTGTTTGAAAGAATAAATTCAGTATCTCATGGCCGTTATTAAATTGTCTTTGCTCTGTCTTCTACAGGTGAGAGGTCCCAGATTCAACATCAACGTCCCTCACAGATTTAATGTGCACAACTACAGAAGACCAACATTCTGTGACCACTGTGGATCTCTTCTTTATGGACTACTCAAGCAAGGACTTCAGTGTGATGGTTAGTATGTGCCTTCAGTACTGCTTTTTTCAGTTTCCTAGACTTCTCTTTGTCCCTTCTCTTTTATAAAAGAAATATGTAGTTTTCTGTTTGTTTTTAAAATTTTTCTAAAATTTCCCAACAAATCAGGTTGGATGGTACATTCTATTGTGGTTTACAGCTAGGCTGTGATGTCTGCGACTTTCAACCCAGCACGTCCAATTTCAGCAGACTCCTAAATAGTTGCTGGTTGGGGGCAGTGGGTCTTCATTTCCCTCCTAAAATGGCCCCTGGAACCCAAAGGGGGTAGCACAGACTACTTGTGCCCGTGAACTTCCTATTAATGAAAATTGGTGAATCAGCCAAGTGCATATGTGTGCACCTGAGACAACAGATCACGTCCTCCAAGACTGTCCCAGATACAACATTTTAAGGCAAAACTTTTGGCCGAGAGGAACTTCGGTGCAAGTCAAACTTTACGGGTCGATGAGTGAATTACAAAAGACAGTGAAGTTCTTACTAGAGACAGCATTGCAGACATAGATAATCTATTTCAAACAAATGAAAGAAGAAGAAGAAGAAATTCGTTACATAAAAGCATCCTTCAGTCTTATTTTTTTTTAATTTATTGTGTAGCCTGGACATTTTTTTTTGTTATTAGTTAATCAGAAAGTCATGATTTTCGGGTCATTTCCAACATGAATATAAAGTAAATATGAAGTTGTTGTTGCCTAATGTTAACCTAGCTAGAGAGATATGAACAAACAAATTTATTAAAGTAGAGAGGCAACAAAGACACAGAGTTGGATGATTCTACTCTGTCTAGTCTCAATCCCATGACCGTTGTCCAGTTATCATTTATTCCCAAGCAAATATTGCAAACAGAAACTGTTTTCATTTGTTTTATTCCTTGATAATGTTCACAACATTTATTTCTTGGCATTTGTTTCCTTGCTTGATGATTTTCAGAACATTTATTTCTTGGCATTTGTTTCCTTGCTTGATGATGTTCACAACATTTATTTCTTGGCATTTGTTTCCTTCCTTGATGATGTTCACAACATTTATTTCTTGTCATTTGTTTCCTTCCTTGAGGATGTTCACAACATTTATTTCTTGTCATTTGTTTCCTTCCTTGATGATGTTCACAACATTTATTTCTTGGCATTTGTTTCCTTGCTTAATGATGTTCACATTTATTTCTTGGCATTTGTTTCCTTCCTTGATGATGTTCACATTTATTTCTTGGCATTTGTTTCCTTCCTTGATGATGTTCACATTTATTTCTTGGCATTTGTTTCCTTGCTTAATGATGTTCACATTTATTTCTTGGCATTTGTTTCCTTGCTTAATGATGTTCACATTTGTTTCTTGGCATTTGTTTCCTTCCTTGATGATGATCACAACATTTATTTCTTGGCATTTGTTTTATTCCTTGAGGATGTTCACAACATTTATTTCTTGGCATTTGTTTTATTCCTTGATGATGTTCACAACATTTATTCTTGGTCTTGGCCCTCTGTTTTTCATCCTCCAGTGTAGCAAAGACTCTCAGACAACTCATACATCAACAAGCCTATATCAACCCTTTGTAAGGAAGTTTTTTTTTGTAGATTTATTCATGGGTAGCTACATTTTTTTGATAAAGTTGCTTTACAGAATGAGGTAGCCAGAGCCTATGCCAGCCTACTTAAATCACCCCTTATGACATGCATGGAAGGCTGCACTGTTATTACGCTTTCTTTAAGCTCCCACTGTACCTGTCAACAACCCATCACATGTTCATTTTAATGTTCTGTACTAATTAATTATTATGTTCTTATGAGTTCATTTTGTACCTCGGAACTGCCACAAATTTTTATTGAATACTCTGTTGATATATGTTTGTTATTACAGCTGAAGTTAATGCTTCCTTCCAAATCACAGTGCATCTGCCTGAGAGGCAAGAAACGAACAGTTTGCATACATATAATCAGATCTGTAAAATGATTGTGGATGCCAAACTCAGTTTCTGGAACATGAGAAAAAAGTCCAGAAGTAGACAAACAACCAGAACTTTCTGCCAGAGTTTACAGGCCGATGAATGCCAAGAAGAAGAAGAAGAGAATGTGGCAGCAATGTAAAGTTATGATCATGTAAAGAGTAACTCTGGTATATTGTGATTTGATTTGTGCAGACTTCAGATAGATTGTGGATTGTGTTTTTTTTTTTTTTTAGTTTATTATACCAGTGTGAATGATTGTTCAATCAGTTTTATCATGCTACATGATGTAGTATAACAATTTCTATGAACTATTTCCAGTATGTAAGATGAACATCCATAAACGCTGTCAAAAGAATGTGGCAAACAACTGTGGCACTAACACCAGAGACATGGCCCAGATCCTTCAGGAGATGGGTATATCTGGAGACAAGCTGCGACCAAAGTCTAAAAAGGTAGTCTTTGCTTCTTTATTTGTCTATTATTTGTTACTGAGCCTGCCTACTCTACTTCAAGAGATGGGTATTGATCCTGCCTACTTTACTTCAAGAGATGGGTATTGAGCCTGCTTACTCTACTTCAAGAGATGGGTATTGAGCCTGCCTACTTTACTTCAAGAGATGGGTATTGAGCCTGCCTACTTTACTTCAAGAGATGGGTATTGAGCCTGCCTACTTTACTTCAAGAGATGGCTATTGAGCCTGCCTACTTTACTTCAAGAGATGGGCATTGAGCCTGCCTACTTTACTTCAAGAGATAGGTATTGAGCCTGCCTACTCTACTTCAAAAGATGGGTATTCAGCGTGCCTACTCTAATTCAAAAGATGGGTATTGAAGGTGCTTACTCTGCTTCAAGAGATGGGTATTGAAGGTGCCTACTCTACTTCAAGAGATGTGTATTGAAGGTGCCTACTCTGCTTCAAGAGATGTGTATTGAAGGTGCCTACTCTACTTCAAGAGATGTGTATTGAAGGTGCCTACTCTACTTCAAGAGATGGGTATTGAAGGTGCCTACTCTACTTCAAGAGATGGGTATTGAAGGTGCCTACTCTACTTCAAGAGATGTGTATTGAAGGTGCCTACTCTACTTCAAGAGATGTGTATTGAAGGTGCCTACTCTACTTCAAGAGATGGGTATTGAAGGTGCCTACTCTACTTCAAGAGATGTGTATTGAAGGTGCCTACTCTAGTTCAAGAGATGGGTATTGAAGGTGCCTACTCTGCTTCAAGAGATGGGTATAGAAGGTGCCTACTCTATTTCAAGAGATGTGTATTGAAGGTGCCTACTCTACTTCAAGAGATGGGTATTGAAGGTGCCTACTCTACTTCAAGAGATGTGTATTGAAGGTGCCTACTCTACTTCAAGAGATGGGTATTGAAGGTGCCTACTCTGCTTCAAGAGATGGGTATTGAAGGTGCCTACTCTACTTCAAGAGATGTGTATTGAAGGTGCCTACTCTACTTCAAGAGATGGGTATTGAAGGTGCCTACTCTACTTCAAGAGATGGGTATTGAAGTTGCCTACTCTACTTCAAGAGATGGGTATTGAAGGTGCCTACTCTACTTCAAGAGATGGGTATTGAAGGTGCCTACTCTACTTCAAGAGATGGGTATTGAAGTTGCCTACTCTACTTCAAGAGATGGGTATTGAAGGTGCCTACTCTACTTCAAGAGATGGGTATTGAAGGTGCCTACTCTACTTCAAGAGATGGGTATTGAAGGTGCCTACTCTACTTCAAGAGATGGGTATTGAGCGTGCCTACTCTACTTCAAAAGATGGGTATTCAGCGTGCCATTTTATCTGCCTCATGCTTTAACTATTTGTGAAAAAGGTGTTTGTTACGGGACTACTGCTTCCTTATGTTTGTTACAGGACTACTCATTCCTTGTGTTTGTTGCAGGACTACTCATTCCTTGTGTTTGTTACAGGACTACTCATTCCTTGTGTTTGTTACAGGACTACTCATTCCTTGTGTTTGTTACAGGACTACTTCTTCCTTGTCTTTGTTACAGGACTACTACTTCCTTGTGTTTGTTACTGGACTACTACTTCCTTATGTTTGTTGAAAAGATTTTTATTACAGGACTACTTCTTCCTTTTATAACTCTCTATAAAAATAAGGGAGATAGAAGCGACTGCAACAACTATCGCTGTATCTCTCTATTGAATTATGTGGGAAAAGTCTTTGCTCGTGTTATCCTAAAGAGGTTGCAAATTCTAGCGGACAGAGTATAAGCGGAATCACAGTGTGGGTTTAGGGCCCAGAGATCAACAGTTGATATGATCTTCTCCATCAGGCAGCTACGAGAGAAGTGCAGAGAACAACTGAGGCCACTGCTCATTGCTTTCATAGATCTCACTAAGGCCTTTGACTATGTCAGCAGAGACGGTCTATTCGGGATCCTTGAAAAATATGGATGCCCACCTATACTACTGAGCCTAATCAAATCCTTTCATGAGAATATGAGGGGGACCATAATATATGAGGATTCATCATCTCGACCCTTCCAGATTTGAAATGGAGTAAAGCAAGGATGTGTTCTGGCTCCCATACTGTTTAGCATCTTTTTTACCCCATTATTGAGGCGTACATTTGGGACAGCAACTGAGGTTATATACCTCCGTTCGAGGTCAGATGGCAATCTTTTTAATTTGTCCAGGCTACGTGCAAGGACGAAGGTGCACACGAGATGCCTCAGGGATTTTCTGTTTGCGGATGATGCAGCCATTGTGGCACATTCAGAGGATGATCTGCAGATCCTGATGAATCGCTTTGCAAATGCTTGTGAAAGAGATGTTTGTGCTTACCATCAGTACTGAACAAAACACAAGTGATGGGATTGAATGTTGGAATCCACCAAACATTAGTGTGTATGACCATCAGCTGCTGGCTGTAAATGAGTTTGAGTACCTAGGCTCACGTATCTCAGACAATCATTCTCTGGATGCAGAACTAAACAAATGTATAGAAAAGGCCTCTGCTATGTTTGCAAATCTCATAAAGAGAGTCTGGTCAAACAAAAAACTAACTGATAATACAAAAATGAAGGTTTATGAGTCTTGTGTCCTGAGCACATTACTTTACGGCTGCGAATCCTGGACTCTCTATGCTCCACAGGAAAAAAGACTGAATACCTTCCATATGCGCTGTCTGAGACGCATCCTTGGTATATTATGGCGAGACCTTGTCTCCAACGAACATGTGCTCACAAGAGCAAAAATACCATCAATGTATTGTATACTGAAGCAAAGACGTCTGCGCTGGCTGGGACATGTCTCCCGCATGGAGGATGGTCGCATTCCAAAAAGATCTCCTGTATGGTGAATTTACTAATTGGGAATAGACCTACAGGAAGGCCAAAGCTGCGCTATAAAGATGTATGCAAACGTGACCTAATAGATACTACTGCTTCTTGTGTTAGGCACAGGACATGGGAAAAATCAGCTGTTACAGGACGACTACTCCTTTGAGACAGAAAGTGAAAGACGGACTGTCACATTTTGAAAGAAACCGAACACAACGAGCTGTGGAGAGGAGGCACCGGAGAGTAAAACTGCCTCACAACGAGGGAGTATCTGCTTTTGTGTGTATCCTGTGTGGCAAAGGCTGCCATTCCCGCATCGGACTTTACAGTCACAGCAGATGCTGTTCCCAAAGCCAGCGGCACATCTCAATAGTCCCCCGGGACTGACGGATGCCATCAACCATCAACTTCTTCCTTGTCTTTGTTACAGGACTACTACTTCCTTATGTTTGTTGAAAAGATGTTTGTTACTGGACTACCACTTCCTTATGTTTGTTGAAAAGATGTTTGTTACTGGACTACTACTTCCTTGTGTTTGTTACTGGACAACTACTTCCTTGTGTTTGTTGAAAAGATGTTTGTTACTGGACTACTACTTCCTTGTGTTTGTTGAAAAGATGTTTGTTACTGGACTACTACTTCCTTGTGTTTGTTGAAAAGATGTTTGTTACTGGACTACTACTTCCTTGTGTTTGTTACTGGACTACTACTTCCTTGTGTTTGTTACTGGACTACTACTTCCTTGTGTTTGTTACTGGACTACTACTTCCTTATGTTTGTTGAAAAGATGTTTGTTACTGGACTACTACTTCCTTGTGTTTGTTACTGGACTACTACTTCCTTGTGTTTGTTACTGGACTACTACTTCCTTGTGTTTGTTGAAAAGATGTTTGTTACTGGACTACTACTTCCTTGTGTTTGTTGAAAAGATGTTTGTTGCTGGATTACTACTTCCTTGTGTTTGTTACAGGACTACTACTTCCTTATTTTTGTTACAGGGCTACTACTTCCTTATGTTTATTGAAAAGATTTTTGTTACAGGACTACTACTTTCTTATGTTTGTTGAAAAGATGTTTGTTACTGGACTACTACTTCCTTGTGTTTGTTGAAAAGATGTTTGTTTACTGGACTACTACTTCCTTGTGTTTGTTAAAAAGATGTTTGTTACTGAACTACTCCTTCCTTGTGTTTGGAATTTCTCTTCCTGAATGTATGAGGTTAAGCCCACCAACCACTGTTTGTATGTGTCGCTGGAGGTCTTACCTTACTCAGTCCCAGTCTATGAGTCTAGTATCTGTTAACTGCTCCTGCTATCTAGACTGACTTTATTGCTTGCCACCTGGTCCAAACATTCTGAAAACCAGACTAGAAATGATTGTTGAGCTGAGCAGTGTGCAGTCTGGCCCTGGACTTCCACAGAGCGGATTTCATTATATTCATGTAAATTATGTTAATGATCAATTTCCATACACTTCAACATTTGCTCAGATTACATCTACATAAAGCAGGGCTATTCTGCTGGCAGCCCACGGGCCAAATCTGACCTGTGGAGACCTCGCAAGTGGCCCACGTTTTTGTTGCCAAGTGTATTATTTTAGTGCAGGGGCTTGCACCTCAGGCCTGTTACGATCCTTAATTTCAACATTTCAGTCCCTGAGTAAACTCAGTTGAGTCATGCTGACATAAAGGATGTCATTAATCTGATACATTCCTGTCTGCTTAAATATTTGCTCAATCTGTCTTATATTCACATAAATAAAAAATCTTGTGTGTATCCATCTGCTTCAACATTTTCTGAGATCACAGTATGTTCATGTATATTAAATTAATAATCTAGTGTATTTTCATGTGTTTCAGCTGTCTATTACAGAGTCCCCAAATAAAAACACCCCATTGCACGAGAGGTCATTTTCATCCCCTATACCTGTGATACCAGGTGTGTATTGTTTGTAAAAGGATGTTTGTTGGTTTAAAATGTAAGATAGCTTGTAAAATGCCTTGAAAAAAAGCACACAAACAGTGTTAAACCTGACTTTCGCGGCGGCCGGGTGACGAACTCCTTGTGGTCCGGGTTCACTCCCGGGGGTAGGCAGAAAAGCCACATTTCTCCCAGATTAACGGTACCTATAATGGAATCAATGCTGAAGGGTTGCGATATCCATAGTACCGAGCCAAAGGGTTTACAACTCATGGTTTCTGGATACGTTTAAAAAAAAAAATATATCCCCCAACAACTCGCTGAGGTAAGTAATAGAAGAGAAGAAGAAAAAGAAGATTGGTTGAATTGATTGTTGGCCAAGTGGTTGGATTTGTTTGTCAATTAGTTGATCAGTCGGTTGGATAGTTTGTTGTTTCGTGGTTGGATTTATTGATCATTCAATTAATTATGAATCCTCAGGATGTGATCTCTTTAACTCTTAAATCTAAACACTAGGGTTTTAGTTATTTGGGGTCATTTAAAAAAAAATGAATGAGCTCACCTTCTAAAAGTGTGTTATGGTCTGTTGTTGTGTATGTTGCTAAAAGGTTACGTACGGTCAGTTATTGTGTATGAATACGTACATATGGTCAGTTATTGTGTATGAATATAATATTAGGTAGCAAGAAATACTATTGTAATTATAAGCAGTAACAATATTTTTAGGTGAATACTAGAATATTGTGAACACAGAAGATGGAACCCCAAAATATCAGCTGAAAGTGTTGCTGCATCAATCATAAAAGAACTGAGAAGGCTAACCCGGGCATCAAATGCCTGCAAAAGTCAAACATGTCGGCCAAAAGGCGCAGATATTACAAGTAGTAGTGTTGTAAACAGGAAGAAAGCATCTACATCTTGGATGAACACTGACGAAGAAGAAGAAGAAATAAAAATAACATGAGTAAAAGATGTGTGCAATTTTTGGGAATGCATTATTAGATGAGATATAGAAATTAGACATAAGTAAGAAAATATTAGGCAGGAGATGATTAGGAAAACAGAAATGTGTATGTGGAAGGCTTAACAGCTTGACAACAATATCAGTTTCATTAAAATAGCAATGACAAAGGAGAATGGAGAATCACGGTGGCCACCGTCTGCTCCAAAGTAGCCACCTGAAGAAGAAATTGTGGAAATAACGCATGAAACATGGAACTCTTTTGAGTCCCAGATGATTTCACAGCAGACACCCAAACTGAACAATATTCACAAATATAATCATGTGTATTATTGTCAAAAAGGCGGCATGTAAACATATTATATAGTACATTCTATATATTACTACTAAAATAAGTATTCAAATTTGTTGAGTATGCTCAAACAAAATGTGAGAAATCTGATAAATTAATAACACATCTTTTGTTAATTTATGTCTCAGCATGTTAATATCACATTTTTAGTTTCACCCGCAGCCCCTGAAATATGTCTTCATCTGTTGCTTTATGTCTTTTCCCTGTGGCAGATCCTGAAATATGTCTTCATCTGTTGCTTTATGTCTTTTCCCTGTGGCAGCCCCTGAAATATGTCTTCATCTGTTGCTTTATGTCTTTTCCCTGTGGCAGACCCTGATGATTCAGGAGAGAGCGGCAATGGTGATGGCTTGTCTGCCAATGCCAGTAATGAGAATCGTGAATACAGGACACGCAGTCCTTCCGGTGATCGAGCGCTGACTCATCAAAGCCGCATCGGTCTACACGACTTTACTTTTATCAAAGTTTTAGGAAAGGGCAGTTTTGGGAAGGTAAGTTGTACTAAAACAACCCCAGAAAGGAGTGTAGCAAAGAACAAAGATTAATATCCCCAAGTATATTTGTAAAATTTGATACTGCTGTACTCTATCCATTCTTTGATGTTCTCTATTCAGGGTTTCTTTGTTTGTTTGCTTTTTTATGCATTGCTTTCATTTGTACTCAGAAAATAGTTTTTGACAAAGTAGCTTAGGAAGTCACATGGCCCCATCATATATTTAAAAAAAAACTGTTGGTAGTAGTTACGAGCTAACCATTTTATTTTATTTGGAGTGCCTAACATTTTTCAAACCCCACATGGGATCACTCTGTCCGTCCATACTTCTGGAAGACTATCATCTTTTACATGCTGTCTGAGTTTTAATCCCTGGTGAGGCAGAGCTAACTTTATCTGTCCAAGGTGAAATAAAAATCCTAGCCCTGGTGAATTCTTACAAACAGTCTGAAATCCTTAGCCAGGAAAACAACACTCCCCACAAACATCAACAGTGCTACAGCATTCTGTGGTGTTATCTCCTCTTCCCCCCCCCCCTCCCCCAACCTTTCCCAATTGCTTTAGCTGGTGTGATTTTCGAGGAAATAAAATAGTCTGATTAAACATTTCTGCACCTTCTAAACAATTGAAATCATTGTTTAGAAAACTACATTGTTAATGTTTCAGTTGATGTTTGACATATATGACATTTGGGTGTGTCATTTATTGAAGAGTTGAAAATATTTTGCAAGTTTATAAAATATGTGTGGACCCCCCCCCCCCTTCCAAGGAAAAAATGCTAGATTTGTTTTTATAAATGTATAGTTAATTTTAATGCATTTGCTAAATGTATGATTTTTGTCTTTTCCTACAACATTTCTTTGAATAGTGGTTGATACAGATAGCTATGGTATGAAGTGAGATCATGAAGACTAGTGCTCAGTTTTTCTGTTTTCTAGGTTTTAATACGTATATAGATTACAATTTGCCTGCCCTTGACCTCTCTGAATGATACTGTATATATTTCCAGGTCATGTTGGCAGAGAGAAAAGGCACAGATGAAGTTTATGCTATCAAAGTTTTAAAAAAAGATGTCATTATACAAGATGATGATGTAGAATGTACAATGACAGAGAAGAGAATACTGGCACTGTCGGCAAAACATCCCTTTCTGACGGCACTGCACTCATCTTTTCAAACTAAGGTAAAGTTATTCAGTATTGATCCTAAAGTATCAGAGCATTCTTCAACAAGAAAACATTATTGTTTTGGATCATTCTAAGCCCCAGCCGGACTGCAGGTGACTTGTGAACAGTCAGGGGACCCAGTTGTACTGATATTGTTGGGAGTTGCCGCGGTTGGCTCATGTCTGATTCTGTTATCTAGATGTTAATCCTACAGACAGCAGTCCTGGAGCAGAACAGTGACCAGCCTTTCCTCATCATCATTGTCCTTTTACACTGTGTGTCGTTAGGTCACCAGTTTCTGTTGACTGTCTGATCATCTCCCTTCACCTTTGGCGGTCAGATGCAATAGACTCCATGGGTGCTTGCTCAAGGCCTGTCCACTCAGTCAGATACTGTGTCCAGGTCTTTCTTGGTCTGCCTCTTGTACTCTTCCCCTCTACTGAGCCCTGTAGTATTGTTTTTTGAGAGGCTGTTAGATCCTATTACATGTCCGTAGCATTTCATTTTCCATCTTTTCACTGTCGGTAAAAGAGGTTTATAGTTGCCAGTGTGCTGGGTAATTATACAGGCAACCTTTATTGTTTGAAAGGTGATATGTGCTGTGTGTGTATAGATGTGAATGTTGAGCAGATGTGAAAGTTTATGAATGCTATCTATCTCTGGTTGGACACAATTCTAACACATCCATGCAGGCTACATTATCATTAGTTTGTATGTTCCTTTAGTATCCCACCAGTCTCTGTTCCCAAACACATCAACTATCGAAGCTTTGTCCGAGTAAAATTATTTGCTGAATAAGGGATCTCTAAAAGGATTCTTAAGAGCTATATAAACTCTATCTATATATATGGAAGTAAATCATGGACAGTGGGCTGATCGATGAAAAAATTATGTGCTAGTGGCGGAGATGTGGTTTAATAGACGAATGGTTAAAACACCTTGGGCAGATAAAATGAGTAATGAAGAAATTTTGAAGGAAATCGACTCAGAAGAGAACTGATTGCTCTCATCAAAATGAGGCAATCAACATTCTTTGGTCATGTTATGAGACAGGGGGAAGGTGGAGTACATCTTGATTGTGGGTAAGCTATAGGGAAATAGGGCAGAGGGAGACGAGAGAGAAGGTGTCGGACAGTTTGATACCTTGGCACAGAAGATCACCTGTGTTAGAACTGATTGACATTATATGAGACAGTAGGTTGTGGAGAGACATGACTACCAACGCCACATGGCATGCACTATAAGAAGAAGAACATAATCATGTCTGACAACTCTGCAGTGAATCTTTTACCACCGGTGAGAGAACGAGAGTTTCGCAAGAGTACATAGAATCAGTCTGTAGAGTTGTGGATAGTCGGCAGATTACTGACAAATTTTGTAAGAGAAGAAAGATACGAGAAAAAAAAAATAATAATAATGGTGATAAAAATATTTTTTTTCTGTAGTCACTCTTAAAATTGTAGTTAGCATGTTATATAGTTGTGCAGTACCGACACCTTTCACCTCAACACACATTTGATTCAACAAATTCCTAATTACTTACCTTTTAAAACATGCTTGTTTAGTGGCATTGACTCTATTTATAATCCAAAAAAAAAAAGAATCCAGGTGCTAAAAATATTTTTTTATCTAGTTTTTAGTGATATAATTTTTTTTCTTTATCGTTTAACAGGAGAGATTGTTTTTTGTCATGGAGTATGTGAATGGAGGAGATTTGATGTTTCAAATTCAGAGGGCTAGGAAATTTGATGAACCGCGGGCCCGGTTTTATGCAGCGGAAGTAACGTTAGCATTGATGTTTCTGCATAAACATGGTATTATATACAGGTAAGACAGGCAACCTGGATGTCATGTATGTTTTGCACATATCTGTCATTTTGATTGTAACTGAAGAGTTCTAAAAGCTGGTTTTAAGTGTTTCAGTGATAATATATTCTTATTCTGTATTTGGTTGTGTTGTGGTTTACAGCAAAGCTGCTATATCTGAACCCTTCATCCCATCTCATCTACCTTCATAAAGAGTCACTTTACAAAATTTCTGCTACAAATAATCTGGTATAGTTTATTGTGAAGATAAACCAGACTAAACAAAGACAGATATCTTTATTGTGAAGATAAACCAGAGTAAACAAAGACTGGTATCTTTATTCTGAAGATAAACCAGACTAAACAAAGACAGATATCTTTATTGTGAAGATAAACCAGACTAAACAAAGACAGATATCTTTATTGTGAAGATAAACCAGAGTAAACAAAGACTGGTATCTTTATTCTGAAGATAAACCAGACTAAACAAATAATGGTGTCTTTATTGTGAAGATAAACCAGACTAAACAAAGAATGGTATCTTTATTGTGAAGATAGACCAGACTAAACAAAGACATATATCTTTATTGTGAAGATAGATCAGACTAACCAAAGACAGATATCTTTATTGTAAAGATAAACCAGACTAAACAAGGACAGGTATCTTTATTGTGAAGATAAACCAGAGTAAACAAAGCCAGATATCTTTATTGTGAAGATAAACCAGACTAAACAAAGACAGAAATCTTTATTGTGAAGATAAACCAGAGTAAACAAAGACAGATATCTTTATTGTGAAAATGAGTCAGACTAAACAAAGACAGATATCTTTATTGTGAAGATAAACCAGACTAAACAAAGACAGATATCTTTATTGTGAAGATAAATCAGACTAACCAAAGACAGATATCTTTATTGTGAAGATAAACCAGAGTAGACAAAGACAGATATCTTTATTGTGAAGATAAACCAGACTAAACAAAGACAGATATCTTTATTGTGAAGATAAACCAGACTAAACAAAGACAGATATCTTTATTGTGAAGATAAGTCAGACTAAACAAAGACAGATATCTTTATTGTGAAGATAAATCAGACTAACTAAAGACAGATATCTTAATAGTGAAGATAAACCAGAGTAAACAAAGACAGATATCTTTATTGTGAAGATAAACCAGACTAAACAAAGACAGATATCTTTATTGTGAAGATAAACCAGACTAAACAAAGAATGGTATCTTTATTGTGAAGATAAACCAGACTAAACAAAAGACTGATATCTTTATAGTGAAGATAAACCAGAGTAAACAAAGACAGATATCTTTATTGTGAAGATAAACCAGAGTAAACAAAGTCAGACCGGTATCTTGACTTTTTAGCTACACTATTTTGTTGTTGTTTTTGTTGTTAGGTTACATTAACTCCTAGAACACCAAACAACTCAGTGACACTAGCTATCATTGTTGACTGTAAGTCCCACTTCTCCTTATAGCACAATATATCACACCCATCTGGAAAGTCTTGCTAGTTACTCTAGTCATGGGCTGTGAGTCCCATGTCTCCTTATAGCACAATATATCACACCCATTTGGAAAGTCTTGCTATTTACACTAGCCATGGACTGTGAGTCCCATGTCTCCTTATAGCACAATATATCACACCCATCTGGAAAGTCTTGCTAGTTACTCTAGCCATGGGCGGTGAGTCCCATGTCTCCTTATAGCACAATATATCACACCCATCTGGAAAGTCTTGCTAGTTACTCTAGCCATGGGCTGTGAGTCCCATGTCTCCTTATTGCACAATATATCACACCCATCTCCAAAGTCTTGCTATTTACACTAGCCATGGACTGTGAGTCCCATGTCTCCTTATAGCACAATATATCACACCCATCTGGAAAGTCTTGCTAGTTACTCTAGCCATGGGCAGTGAGTCCCATGTCTCCTTATTGCACAATATATCACACCCATCTCCAAAGTCTTGCTATTTACACTGGCCATTGGCTGTGAGTCCCATGTCTCCTTATAGCACAATATAACACTCCCATCTGGAAAGTCTTGCTAGTTACACTAGCCATGGACTGTGAGTCCCATGTCTCCTTATAGCACAATATATCACATCCATCTGGAAAGTCTTGCTAGTTACTCTAGCCATGGGCGGTGAGTCCCATGTCTCCTTATTGCACAATATATCACACCCATTTGGAAAGTCTTGCTATTTACACTAGCCATAGACTGTGAGTCCCATGTCTCCTTATAGCACAATATATCACACCCATCTGGAAAGTCTTGCTAGTTACTCTAGCCATGGGCTGTGAGTCCCATGTCTCCTTATAGCACAATATATCACACCCATCTCCAAAGTCTTGCTATTTACACTGGCCATTGGCTGTGAGTCCCATGTCTCCTTATAGCACAATTTATCACTCCCATCTGGAAAGTCTTGCTAGTTACTCTAGCCATGGGCTGTGAGTCCCTTGTCTCCTTATAGCACAATATATCACACCCATCTGGAAAGTCTTGCTATTTACACTAGCCATGGGCTGTGAGTCCCATGTCTCCTTATAGCACAATATATCACACCCATCTCCAAAGTCTTGCTATTTACACTAGCCATGGGCTGTGAGACCCATGTCTCCTTATAGCACAATATATCACTCCCATCTTGAAAGTCTTCTTAGTTACACTGGCCATGGGCTGTGAGTCCCATGTCTCCTTATAGCACAATATATCACTCCCATCTGGAAAGTCTTGCTAGTTACACTAGCCATGGACTGTGAGTCCCATGTCTCCTTATAGCACAATATATCACACCCATCTGGAAAGTCTTGCTAGTTACTCTAGCCATGGGCAGTGAGTCCCATGTCTCCTTATTGCACAATATATCACACCCATCTCCAAAGTCTTGCTATTTACACTGGCCATTGGCTGTGAGTCCCATGTCTCCTTATAGCACAATATATCACACCCATCTCCAAAGTCTTGCTATTTACACTGGCCATTGGCTGTGAGTCCCATGTCTCCTTATAGCACAATATAACACACCCATCTGGAAAGTCTTGCTAGTTACTCTAGCCATGGGCTGTGAGTCCCTTGTCTCCTTATTGCACAATATATCACACCCATCTCCAAAGTCTTGCTATTTACACTGGCCATTGGCTGTGAGTCCCATGTCTCCTTATAGCACAATATATCACACCCATCTCCAAAGTCTTGCTATTTACACTGGCCATTGGCTGTGAGTCCCATGTCTCCTTATAGCACAATATAACACTCCCATCTGGAAAGTCTTGCTATTTTTTTTTTACAGTGAACTAGAATACCATGGACTGTGAGTCCCATGTCTGTTTTATAGCACAATATATCACTTGATCTATTCTGGACAGCCTTGCAGAAGGACATTGCAAGATAGCAGATTTTGGGATGTGTAAGGAAGGTATGACAGACGGCAAGCTCACTCAGACTTTTTGTGGAACCCCAGATTATATAGCACCAGAGGTTGGTACTTCTTGGTTGATTTTCACATATTGACACTGTACTTTCTCCTTGACTTGGGTGCTTTATTCTTGAGTGATTAATGCTGACTACACTACTTTATTTTTGACTGATTAATATCAGCTACAGCACTTTCTTTTTAACTGTTTTATGTTGACTCCGGCACTTTATTCTAGACTGTTTTATTTTGACTCCGGCACTTTATTCTTGACTGTTTTATGTTGACTCCAGCACTTTATTCTTGACTGTTTTATGTTGACTCCGGCACTTTATTCTTGACTGTTTAATGTTGACTCCGGCACTTTATTCTTGACTGTTTTATGTTGACTCCGGCACTTTATTCTTGACTGTTTTATTTTGACTCCGGCACTTTATTCTTGACTGTTTAATGTTGACTCTGGTACTTTATTCTTGACTGTTTAATGTTGACTCCGGCACTTTATTCTTGACTGTTTTATGTTGACTTCGGCACTTTATTCTTGACTGTTTTATGTTGACTCTGGCACTTTATTCTTGACTGTTTTATGTTGACTCCGGCACTTTATTCTTGACTGTTTTATGTTGACTCTGGCACTTTATTCTTGACTGTTTTATGTTGACTCCAGCACTTTATTCTTGACTGTTTAATGTTGACTCCGGCACTTTATTCTTGACTGTTTTATGTCGACTCCGGCACTTTATTCTTGACTGTTTTATGTTGACTCAGGCACTTTATTCTTGACTGTTTTATGTTGACTCTGGTACTTTATTCTTGACTGTTTTATGTTGACTCAGGCACTTTATTTTTAAATTTATTAAACATCTCTAGACTCATCATGTGACAAATGTCTGCTTTCAGATCCTGCAAGAACTAGAATATGATGCCAGCGTTGACTGGTGGGCTCTGGGTGTTCTCATGTATGAAATGATGGCAGGACAGCCTCCATTTGAGGCAGACAATGAAGATGATCTGTTTGAATCTATTCTCCATGACGATGTTTTGTACCCTGTCTGGCTCAGCAAAGAGGCAGTCACTATTCTCAAGGGCGTAAGTAGCCTCTAACTTGATAGGTATTTTATAGACTGATGTGAATTAAGGGTTCTAAGTGTGATAGATATTTGGTAGACTGATGTGAATTAAGGGTTCTAAGTGTCCTCTGATAGATATTTTGTAGACTGTTGTGACTTAAGGGTTCTAAGTGTCCTCTGATAGATATTCAGTAGACTGTTGTGACTTAAGGGTTCTAAGTGTCCTCTGATAGATATTCAGTAGACTGTTGTGACTTAAGGGTTCTAAGTGTCCTCTGATAGATACTGTTGTGACTTAAGGGTTCTAAGTGTCCTCTGATAGTGTCCTCTGATAGAGATTTCAGTAGACTGTTGTGACTTAAGGGTTCTAAGTGTCCTCTGATAGATAGTGTTCTGATAGATAGTAGACTGTTGTGACTTAAGGGTTCTAAGTGTCCTCTGATAGATATTTGGTAGACTGTTGTGACTTAAGGGTTCTAAGTGTCCTCTGATAGATATTTGGTAGACTGTTGTGACTTAAGGGTTCTAAGTGTCCTCTGATAGATAGATTTGGTAGATTTGTTGTGACTTAAGGGTTCTAAGTGTCCTCTGATAGATATTTTTGGTAGACTGTTGTGACTTAAGGGTTCTAAGTGTCCTCTGATAGATATTTGGTAGACTGTTGTGACTTAAGGGTTCTAAGTGTCCTCTGATAGATATTTGGTAGACTGTTGTGACTTAAGGGTTCTAAGTGTCCTCTGATAGATATTTGGTAGACTGTTGTGACTTAAGGGTTCTAAGTGTCCTCTGATAGATATTTGGTAGACTGTTGTGACTTAAGGGTTCTAAGTGTCCTCTGATAGATATTCAGTAGACTGTTGTGACTTAAGGGTTCTAAGTGTCCTCTGATAGATATTTGGTAGACTGTTGTGACTTAAGGGTTCTAAGTGTCCTCTGATAGATATTTGGTAGACTGTTGTGACTTAAGGGTTCTAAGTGTCCTCTGATAGATATTTGGTAGACTGTTGTGACTTAAGGGTTCTAAGTGTCCTCTGATAGATATTTGGTAGACTGTTGTGACTTAAGGGTTCTAAGTGTCCTCTGATAGATATTTGGTAGACTGTTGTGACTTAAGGGTTCTAAGTGTCCTCTGATAGATATTTGGTAGACTGTTGTGTTGGGACTTAAGGGTTCTAAGTGTAGACTCTGATAGAGGGTTCTAGTTTCTGATAGATATTTGTGACTGTTGTGACTAAGGGTTCTAAGTGTCCTCTGATAGATATTTGGTAGACTGTTGTGACTTAAGGGTTCTAAGTGTCCTCTGATAGATATTGGTAGACTGTGTGACTTAAGGGTTCTAAGTGTCCTCTGATAGATATTTGGTAGACTGAAGGGTTCTAAGTGTCCCTCTGATAGATCCTTTGATAGACTGTTGTGACTTAAGGGTTCTAAGTGTCCTCTGATAGATATTTGGTAGACTGTTGTGACTTAAGGGTTCTAAGTGTCCTCTGATAGATATTTGGTAGTCTGTTGTGACTTAAGGGTTCTAAGTGTCCTCTGATAGATATTTGGTAGACTGTTGTGACTTAAGGGTTCTAAGTGTCCTCTGATAGATATTTGGTAGACTGTTGTGACTTAAGGGTTCTAAGTGTCCTCTGATAGATATTTGGTAGATTGATGTGACTTAAGGGTTCTAAGTGTCCTCTGATAGATATTCAGTAGTCTGTTGTGACTTAAGGGTTCTAAGTGTCCTCTGATAGATATTTGGTAGACTGTTGTGACTTAAGGGTTCTAAGTGTCCTCTGATAGATATTCAGTAGTCTGTTGTGACTTAAGGGTTCTAAGTGTCCTCTGATAGATATTCAGTAGTCTGTTGTGACTTAAGGGTTCTAAGTGTCCTCTGATAGATATTCAGTAGTCTGTTGTGACTTAAGGGTTCTAAGTGTCCTCTGATAGATATTTGGTAGACTGTTGTGACTTAAGGGTTCTAAGTGTCCTCTGATAGATATTTGGTAGACTGTTGTGACTTAAGGGTTCTAAGTGTCCTCTGATAGATATTTGGTAGACTGTTGTGACTTAAGGGTTCTAAGTGTCCTCTGATAGATATTTGGTAGATTGATGTGACTGAAGGGTTCTAAGTGTCCTCTGATAGATATTTGGTAGATTGATGTGACTGAAGGGTTCTAAGTGTCCTCTGATAGATATTTGGTAGACTGTTGTAGATTGATGTGACTGACTAAGTGTCCTCTGATAGATATTTGGTAGACTGTTGTGACTTATGGTTCTAAGGGTTCTCTGTCCTCTGATAGATATTTGGTGACTGTTGTGACTAAGGGTTCTAAGTGTCCTCTGATAGATATTTGGTAGACTGTTGTGACTTGACTTAAGGGTTCTAAGTGTCCTCTGATAGATGATAGATTTGGTAGACTGTTGTGACTTAAGGGTTCTAAGTGTCCTCTGATAGATATTTGGTAGACTGTTGTGACTTAAGGGTTCTAAGTGTCCTCTGATAGATATTTGGTAGACTGTTGTGACTTAAGGGTTCTAAGTGTCCTCTGATAGATATTTGGTAGATTGATGTGACTGAAGGGTTCTAAGTGTCCTCTGATAGATATTTGGTAGACTGTTGTGACTTAAGGGTTCTAAGTGTCCTCTTATAGATATATTCAGTAAGGTTCTGATGTGACTCTGAAGGTGTAAGGGTTCTAAGTGTCCTCTGATAGATATTTGGTAGACTGTTGTGACTTAAGGGTTCTAAGTGTCCTCTGATAGATATTTGGTAGACTGTTGTGACTTAAGGGTTCTAAGTGTCCTCTGATAGATATTTGGTAGACTGTTGTGACTTAAGGGTTCTAAGTGTCCTCTGATAGATATTTGGTAGACTGTTGTGACTTAAGGGTTCTAAGTGTCCTCTGATAGATATTTGGTAGACTGTTGTGACTTAAGGGTTCTAAGTGTCCTCTGATAGATATTTGGTAGACTGTTGTGACTTAAGGGTTCTAAGTGTCCTCTGATAGATATTTGGTAGACTGTTGTGACTTAAGGGTTCTAAGTGTCCTCTGATAGATATTGGTAGACTGTTGTGGACTTAAAGTGTCCTCTGATAGATATTTGGTAGGTTGTGACTTAAGTGTTCTAAGTGTCCTCTGATAGATATTTGGTAGACTGTTGTGACTTAAGGGTTCTAAGTGTCCTCTGATAGATATTTGGTAGACTGTTGTGACTTAAGGGTTCTAAGTGTCCTCTGATAGATATTTGGTAGACTGTTGTGACTTAAGGGTTCTAAGTGTCCTCTGATAGATATTTGGTAGGGACTGTTGTGACTGATGTTAAGGGTTCTAAGTGTCCCTGATAGATAGTAGATTGGTAGACTGTTGTGACTTAAGGGTTCTAAGTGTCCTCTGATAGATATTTGGTAGACTGTTGTGACTTAAGGGTTCTAAGTGTCCTCTGATAGATATTGGTAGACTGTTGTGACTTAAGGGTTTAGTAGTCTGTTGTGACTTAAGGGTTCTAAGTGTCCTCTGATAGATATTTGGTAGACTGTTGTGACTTAAGGGTTCTAAGTGTCCTCTGATAGATATTTGGTAGACTGTTGTGACTTAAGGGTTCTAAGTGTCCTCTGATAGATATTTGTAGTAGACTGTTGTGACTTAAGGTTTCTAAGTGTCCTCTGATAGATATTTGGTAGACTGTTGTGACTTAAGGGTTCTAAGTGTCCTCTGATAGATATTTGGTAGACTGTTGTGACTTAAGGGTGTCTAAGTGTCCTCTGATAGATATTTGGTAGACTGTTGTGACTTAAGGGTTCTAAGTGTCCTCTGATAGATATTTGGTAGACTGTTGTGACTTAAGGGTTCTAAGTGTCCTCTGATAGATATTTGGTAGACTGTTGTGACTTAAGGGTTCTAGTGTCCTCTGATAGATATTTGGTAGACTGTTGTGACTTAAGGGTTCTAAGTGTCCTCTGATAGATATTTGGTAGACTGTTGTGACTTAAGGGTTCTAAGTGTCCTCTGATAGATATTTGGTAGACTGTTGTGACTTAAGGGTTCTAAGTGTCCTCTGATAGTTTGATAGATGTTGTGACTTAAGGGTTCTAAGTGTCCTCTGATAGATATTACCAGCTGACTTGGTCAGATGATTTGTGACTGGGTTCTCTGTCAGTATTATAGATATTTGGTAGACTGATGACTTAAGGGTTCTAAGTGTCCTCTGATAGATAGTAGTCTGTTTGACCAGGGTTCTAAGTGTCCTCTGATAGATATTTGGTAGACTGTTGTCTAAGGGTTCTAAGTGTCCTCTGATAGATATTTGGTAGACTGTTGTGACTTAAGGGTTCTAAGTGTCCTCTAACTTGATAGATATTTGTAAGGTGATAAGTGTCTCTGATAGATATTTTAGACAGTTGTGACTTAAGGGTTCTAAGTGTCTCTGATAGATATTGTAGACTGTTGTGATTTAAGGGTTCTAAGTGTCCTCTGATAGATATTACAAGCTGCCAGTCAAGGGTGATGTGTAGTGATAGATCTCTGTCAGACTGTTACCAGTGGCTCAGTCAGGTGATGTAGTGATTTCTCTGTCAGATATTTTAGACTGTTGTGACTTAAGGGTTCTAAGTGTCCTCAGATGATGTAGTGATTTCTCTGTCAGTATTACCAGTGTGCCAGTCAGATGATGATTTGTGATTTCTAAGGGTGTCAAAGTAGATATTACCAGTGGCCAGTCAGATGATGCAGTGATTTCTCTGTCAGTATACTAGTGGCCAGTCAGACGATGTAGTGATTTCTCTGTCAGCATTACCAGCTGCAGTCAGATGATGTAGTGATTTCTCTCTGTCTCAGTATTGATGTAGTGATTTCTCTGTCGCATATTATCAGCCAATCAGATGATGTAGTGATTTCTCTGTCACTATTACCAGCTGCTGGTCAGATTGTCTGTAGTGATTTCTCTGTCAGTATTACAAGCTGCCAGTCCTCTTGATGTAGTGATTTCTCTGTCACTATTACCAGCTGCTGGTCAGATGATGTAGTGATTTCTCTGTCAGTATTACAAGCTGCATTTCAGATGATGTAGTGATTTCTCTGCCAGTCAGATGATGTAGTGATTTCTCTGTCAGTATTACAAGCTGCCAGTCAGATGATGTAGTGATTTCTCTGTCAGTATTACAAGCTGCCAGTCAGATGATGTAGTGATTTCTCTGTCAGTATTACCAGCTGCTGGTCAGATGATGTAGTGATTTCTCTGTCAGTATTACCAGCTGCCAGTCAGATGATGTAGTGATTTCTCTGTCAGTATTACCAGCTGCTGGTCAGATGATGTAGTGATTTCTCTGTCAGTATTACAAGCTGCCAGTCAGATGATGTAGTGATTTCTCTGTCACTATTACCAGATGATGTAGTGATTTCTCTGTCAGTATTACCAGCTGCTGGTCAGATGATGTAGTGATTTCTCTGTCAGTATTACCAGATGATGTAGTGATTTCTCTGTCAGTATTACCAGTGGCAGTCAGATGATGTAGTGATTTCTCTGTCAGTATTACCAGCTGCTGGTCAGATGATGTAGTGATTTCTCTGTCAGTATTACCTGATGTCAGATGATGTCTGTCAGATTTCTCTGTCAGTATTACCAGATGATGTAGTGATTTCTCTGTCAGTATTACCAGATGATGTAGTGATTTCTCTGTCAGTATTATCAGCTGCCGGTCAGATGATGTAGTGATTTCTCTGTCAGTATTACCAGATGATGTAGTGATTTCTCTGTCAGTATTACCAGATGATGTAGTGATTTCTCTGTCAGTATTACCAGATGATGTAGTGATTTCTCTGTCAGTATTACCAGCTGCTGGTCAGATTTCTGTAGTCAGAATGTGTCTAAACCCTTTCAGTCAGATGATGTAGTGATTTCTTTCTTACCAGGATCAGTGATGTCTGATTTCTAGTCAGTATTACCAGATGATGTATTTCTTTCTGTCAGTATTACCAGTCTGGTCCCTGATGTAGTGATTTCTCTGTCAGTATTACCAGATGATGTAGTGATTTCTCTGTCAGTATTACCAGATGATGTAGTGATTTCTCTGTCAGTATTACCAGCTGCCGGTCAGATGATGTGTGTGATTTCTTGTCAGTATTACCAGTGATGTAGTGATCAGATGTCATTAGTGATTTCTGTGTCAGATTGACCATTTCAGTATTCAGGATGATGTAGTGATTTCTTTGTCAGCATTACCAGTGTCCAGTCAGATGATGTAAGTGATTCTAGCATTGCCATGTCTTTAGTCAGATGATTGTGATTTCTGTGTCAGCATTACCCCTGTGGCCAGTCAGATGATGTGTGATTTCTTGTCAGCATTACCTTTCAGTCAGATGATGTAGTGTGTCTTTAACCCTTTCAGCAGATGATGTAGTGATTTCTGTGTCAGCAACCAGTTTCAGATGATGTTGTGATTTCTGTGTCAGCATTACCAGTGGCCAGTGTCAGATGACCTGTGATTTCTGTGTCAGCATTACCTGGCCCTTTCAGATGATGTGTGATTTCTGTGTCAGCATTACCAGTGGCCAGTCAGATGATGTTGTGATTTCTGTGTCAGCATTACCAGTGGCCAGTCAGATGATGATGTGATTTCTGTGTCAGCATTACCAGTGGCCAGTCAGATGATGTTGTGATTTCAGCATTGCAGTGGCCATTACCATGTTGTGCTGTGTCAGCATTACCAGTGCCCAGTCAGATGATGATGTGATTTCTGTGTCAGCATTACCAGTGGCCAGTCAGATGTTGTGATTTCTCTGTCAGCATTACCAGCTGCTAGTCTGATGATGCAGTGATTTCTCTGTCTCAGTATTACTAGTAGTTGTCAGTCAGTGAGTGCAGAATGTATTGTGAATTACCAACTCTGATGACCAATATAATTTAACCCTTTCTGGATGACAGTGTCTTGCAGATTAACCTTTATGGATGTGCATCATTGCAGTTTAACCCTTTGTTGGATGTGCAGTGTGCCAAGAGACCCTTTGTGGATACATCTCAAGTGTCTTGAAAAACCCTTTCCTGATGTGCATTCTTTACCACCCTTTCTAGATGATGCTGGATGTGCAGTGTCTTTAACCCTTTCTGGATGTGCAGTGTCTTAAACCCTTTCTGGATGTGCAGTGTCTTAAACCCTTTCTGGATGTGCAGTGTCTTTAACCCTTTCTGGATGTGCAGTGTCTTTAACCCTTTTCATCCCAAAATGCTTTAAAAAAGGGCCATAAACTTGAAATATTTATAGATCAAGAGAAGGTGTTTGATCAAGTCAACAGATGCAAACTGGAAAATTCTAGACGATTATGGTATTCACGATCAACTGTTGGGTAACATCATGGCTCTTTACCAAGATAGTCAGTGCACAGTAAGAACAACAGAAGGAATGACAGACTTGTTCCATCATCTCATCAGGTGTCAGACAGGGATGTGTCCTCTTCACCACTGCTGTTCCTTACTTACATGGGTAGAATAACACAGGAGGCAGATACAAGCACAGCAGAAATCAATTAACTTCTTTTTTGCAGACTATAAATGCTTTCTTCTTTCTTTAATACAACCAGTTGACCAAAAACAGAATTTACAACACCATATTGACTCCTTACATCAAGCCTGCAAAAAAGTATGACATGAGCAATAAACACTGCAAAAACTGAGGTAACCCTTTTCTGGATAGTGCAGGTCTTTAACCTTTTCTGGATGTTCATGTCTTTAACAGTTTTCTTTATGTCAACCCTTTCTGGATTTTTTTTAAAGTTTATGGAATTCAAATCTTTACAGAGTCTTTAACCCTTTTCTGGATGTGCTATAGAAGCTGGATGTGCAGTACTTTAACCCTTTCATCCAAAATGCTTTCACCTACCGATTAGCCCCAATATTTTAGATCAAGAGAAGGTGTTTGATCCAGTCAACAGATGCAATGATTAATAACATCTTTAGACTACTTTATGGTTATCAGTGCCAAACATGGACAATAACATCAGGGCTCTAGAACAAGATAACCAGTCTTAAATGCACTGTCTCCGTAAGTCACTACAAACACTAGAATGAGACAGGACTTGTTCGAATATCTCATCAGGTGTCAGACAGGGATGTGTAGTCTTACCACTGCTGTTCCTTACTTACATGGGTAGAATAACACAGGAGGCAGATACAAGCACAGCAGAAATCAATTAACTTCTTTTTTGCAGACTATAAATATCTAATACACCACCAAAAACAGAATTTACAACACCATGTTGACTCCTTACATCAAGCCTGCACAAAGTATGATAGATTACAGAAGGCAAATGCTGTCACCTACCGATTAGCCCCACTGCTTAGACACCCAAATGTCTCCCTTCCAGCAAACAGCCAATGATTAATAACATCTTTATCCCTACTTTATGTTATCAGTGCCAAACATGGACAATAAATAGGGCTCTAGAACAGGAAATAACCACATCTGAAATGCACTGTCTCCGCAAGGTCACTAACACCACTACACGAGACAGGGTTACGAATATCAGCATTTAGAGAGAAAGTTGGAATAAGACCACGTCTGGATTATATTAACTAAGAATGAAATGGTTTGGCCAGCTAGTGAGAGTGCAGCCAGACCAGACTGCATGTGAGAATTTTTACAGCAGAACACCCGGGAGGGAGGTGAGAGAAAGACCAAGAAAGAGATGGATAAATGTGCACCCACTGCCAAGGGCAAATGCAGAAGAAGAAGAGTGGTAAGTATGAACAATTATAGGCCACACATGTGGATCAGTCCATTGGGACGAGATCCTGGTTGTCCTGGGGTTCTATCCACCCTAAGGTAGATTTTCAAACATTTACCTGGTCTGCCAGGTCGACCGCCTAAAATAACATGAGTCAAAACATTCTTTGGTTTCTTCTGTTTCTGTGTGAGTCAGTCAAATAAAGGACCCATTTTGTTGCCTTTGGGGGCGTCTGACATATGGTGCTAGACCAGTTGGTTTATTGATTAGTTAAGGGTGATGTGATCAGCATCATATCAGTCACCTTTACTTTCCAGGTCAGTAACCATTTTAGGCTGGGTTGACCTGAGTGCCAAAGTCAGTAAAAAAACGTCTTAGCACAGATGATGTAAACCCCGACCTTTGGGCACAGAGGTCAGCTTCTAGCTGCAACGCTACGACAGATCCCATTGTTGTATTCAACAGTAAATTTTTTTTTTGTTAAATTGTTTTTAACCAGCTCAATATATTATATTATTGAGACACCTTTTTGTGATTTTATTTTCTACACAGAAAAACAAGACGGACGCTAACAACTTTGATAGAGATTTTACATCAGAAGATCCAGTCCTGACCCCTGTTGACCCCGCAGTGATTAAAACCATCAACCAGGATGAGTTTCGAGGCTTCTCGTTTGTCAACCCCGAATACGGCAAGTTTGATTTAGAGGCAAGCAGTCAGCAGACGCACTGACCAGTCTGCAGTGGCTCGCAGCCATGCTCTCACATTTTTGGACCATTGTTCGCTTCTGGCTGTGTGTTTTTTTTTTAATCAGTCCCATCACATGGAAGGATCTATCTTGGGTCTTGTGACTCCAGAAATGTTTACGATTCAGCCATAAATCTGTGAGGCCCGCAGTCTGTATATTTATTTATATTCTCATTTTGATTTGTCAAGACTCTCACGTTTTATAAGTACACACTTGCTGTATAGTTTTGTTGCATTTACCAGCCACTGGCCCTGTGCACTTGCACACTTTGTGACATGTTCTTGTATTCAGCCATGACTGAGGACATCAGGAGAATTTGCTGAATCACCATCACATGACTAATGACTTCACCTCAGTATTGTCAGGAAAAATAACTCTAGTTATCTGCCATCAAGCACTGTTTGAATAAACAGTTATCAGCCCTTTATTTTCATGACCAGATGGTGCATCATCAACATCATGCCGGCCACCTGGACTATCTCAGTGTCATCTCTGGTTCATGCGGCCACCTGGACTATCTCGGTGTCATCTCTGGTTCATACGGCCACCTGGACTATCTCGGTGTCATCTCTGGTTCCACTTGGACTATCTCAGTGTCATCTCTGGTTCATGGGACCACCTGGACTATCTCGGTGTCATCTCTGGTTCATACGGCCGCCTGGACTATCTCAGTGTCATCTCTGGTTCCACTTGGACTATCTCAGTGTCATCTCTGGTTCATGCGGCCACCTGGACTATCTCAGTGTCATCTCTGGTTCATACGGCCACCTGGACTATCTCAGTGTCATCTCTGGTTCATACGGCCACCTGGACTATCTCAGTGTCATCTCTGGTTCCACTTGGACTATCTCAGTGTCATCTCTGGTTCATGCGGCCACCTGGACTATCTCAGTGTCATCTCTGGTTCATACGGCCACCTGGACTATCTCAGTGTCATCTCTGGTTCCACTTGGTCTATCTCAGTGTCATCTCTGGTTCATGGGACCACCTGGACTATCTCGGTGTCATCTCTGGTTCATACGGCCACCTGGACTATCTCAGTGTCATCTCTGGTTCCACTTGGACTATCTCAGTGTCATCTCTGGTTCATGCGGCCACCTGGACTATCTCAGTGTCATCTCTAGTTCATACGGCCACCTGGACTATCTCAGTGTCATCTCTGGTTCCACTTGGACTATCTCAGTGTCATCTCTGGTTCATGCGGCCACCTGGACTATCTCAGTGTCATCTCTGGTTCCACCTGGACTATCTCAGTGTCATCTCTGGTTCATGCGGCCACCTGGACTATCTCAGTGTCATCTCTGGTTCCACCTGGACTATCTCAGTGTCATCTCTGGTTCATGGGACCACCTGGACTATCTAAGTGTCATCTCTGGTTCATGGGACCACCTGGACTATCTCAGTGTCATCTCTGGTTCATGGGACCACCTATACTATCTCAGTGTCATCTCTGGTTCATGGGACCACCTGGACTATCTCAGTGTCATCTCTGGTTCATGCGGCCACCTGGACTATCTCAGTGTCATCTCTGGTTCATGCGGCCACCTGGACTATCTCAGTGTCATCTCTGGTTCCACCTGGACTATCTCAGTGTCATCTCTGGTTCATGTGGCCACCTGGACTATCTCAGTATCATCTCTGGTTCATGCGGCCACCTGGACTATCTCAGTGTCATCTCTGGTTGCACCTGGACTATTTCAGTGTCATCTCTGGTTCATGCGGCCACCTGGACTATCTCAGTGTCATCTCTGGTTCCATCTGGACTATCTCAGTGTCATCTCTGGTTCCACCAGGACTATCTCAGTGTCATCTCTGGTTCCACCTGGACTATCTCAGTGTCATCTCTGGGACTATCTCAGTGTCATCTCTGGTTCCACCTGGACTATCTCAGTGTCATCTCTGGTTCCACCTGGACTATCTCAGTGTCATCTCTGGTTCCACCTGGACTATCTCAGTGTCATCTCTGGTTCCACATGGACTATCTGAGTGTCATCTCTGGTTCATGTTGGATAATTTGCTTTAATTGGTTTTATGTTTTTTTTTTTTTTTTTTGTTTTTTTTTTTAAAGTTCATTTTCCTTGCACAAAGATAGTCTAATACGGGTTTCAGTCTCCTTCTGTAGATAATGCAAGGGGATCTGGCCAATACTCGACACTCACAGGAAAGGCAAGATGGACATATAATCAGACTGACCGGTACTGTTGGCATTGTGCGGGCTGCTTAATAGGGGGACAGAGTGCTTATGGGAATACTCAAAGTGCTGTAATGTTGGTTCTTGAATTAACTCACTCATTCATGGAGAATTTGAGCACAGTGCTTGACCTCAGCATTGGAACCAGCCTGGGTTCATGTGTGTGTGTGTGTGTACAAGTATTTTACATAACTTCTTTTGTGGTTAAATAAACTAAAGGACCCTCACATATCAGTGGCTCATCTGGGCATATAGGGCAAGACCTGCATTTTTATAGACCCATCAGCACTCCATGGTGCGGTCAGCTTGGGGTGGCCATCTTTACTTCAAAGGACACTCCCTACCACCCATTTAAGACTGGGTCAGATTGGGAGCCAAGTTTAATTTAGAAAATATTCTGCCTCAGTAAACCCTAGATTTTTAGGCTGTCCACTACACCGCCATCATTCCTGTTCTTCTGTGGGTAGGTTTTCTGTTTGTTTTCTAAATGACCTTGGTTGGCAACCTGTTGAGCTTATTCTCTTCAATTGGCAGTTGCCAAGTGATTTTCTAGACTTGCAATTTGCACATGGTTCCTCAGAATTTTCTGCTTTATCTGAGAAGTTTAGATGTCTGATCCACTAGGCCACAATCCGGAGGAAGCGTACCATCCAGTGGCCACACTGTGGATCAGGGCAGGTTTGTTACACTTAGAGTTATACGTAATTCTATGCTACGTTGTCCTCATTTTTTGAGGAAGTAGCAAGTCTGTAGTCAGCCTCGCTGAGTCTGTTTTGACATTCATGGCAGGGTACAATGTTCTATTCTTTGCTTCCCACAAGGCCCCGGTAAAACACAAATAAGATGATTTCTTATGTTTTGATGTTTTTTATGGCTAGTTTGTGTGTAAGAACTCTTTATTATTTCAATGGCAGATAGTTAACAGGTCTACATGGGGATAAATCAATTCATGTGCTTAACAGTACTTTGGATTACATATTTTATAACAGAAGCTACTTATATATTTATTCTCTATCTTTATAATTTGCTGATACACCAAACTAAAGCCAGTTTAGCTATTTATAAAAGGATATGAACCCTAGACATCCATGGTGCCAAATGAGCATCCTGTGGTTCAGGCAGGTAGTAACAAGCAGGACTTCATGCTATGTCAGGGAAAGAAGGGCAACAGAAGCAAAATCTGTAATTATCATTTCCAGTAGAGTGACCTGATTTAATTTATTCAGGCTTTTTCAACAAGAATCTGTGTTTTGAAGGCATCTAGTTTTGGTAATTACAAATAATAATATGTTTGGTTTGTGTAAACTGATGTGGAATTTGTCAGTTTTCACTGGGACCCAGTAAACATAAGTATTTGAAAGTGTAACCACTAGATGATGCAAGTAATGAAAGGTGCAGCACAGCACAGTGTATACAGTGAACGCAGCTGTGGCGAGACCCTTATTAATACTTGTGCTGTCCAGCCTGTACAGCCTGGTGTATGTATGTGCATAATTACGTATGTTACAGTATAGATTGGTTTATCAGGTGGTGTATGTCCTGGGAATCCCACAGAGGCCAGTGTGTGGATTGGTTTGTCAGATGTGTGTAATTGTCCTGGGAGTCCCACAGAGGCCAGTGTATGGATTGGTTTGTCAGATGTGTGTATGTCCTGGGAGTCCCACAGAGGCCAGTGTGTGGATTGGTTTGTCAGGTGTGTGTATGTCCTGGGAGTCCCACAGAGGCCAGTGTGTGGATTGGTTTGTCAGGTGTGTGTATGTCCTGGGAGTCCCACAGAGGCCAGTGTGAGCATGTGGATTGGTTTGTCAGGTGTGTGTATGTCCTGGGAGTCCCACAGAAGCCAGTGTGTGGATTGGTTTGTCAGGTGTGTGTATGTCCTGGTAGTCCCACAGAGGCCAGTGTGTGGATTGGTTTGTCAGGTGTGTGTATGTCCTGGGAGTCCCACAGAGGCCAGTGTGTGGATTGGTTTGTCAGGTGTGTGTATGTCCTGGGAGTCCCACAGAGGCCAGTGTGAGCATATGGATTGGTTTGTCAGATGTGTGTATGTGTTTGTACCAGTAGTCCCATAAAGGCCATATGGATTGTTTCAGCAGGTGTTTGTATGCCAGTAGTCCCATGAAGGCCATATGGATTGTTTCAGCAGGTGTTTGTATGCCAGAAGTCCCATGAAGGCCATATGGATTGTTTCAGCAGGTGTTTGTATGCCAGTAGTCCCATGAAGGCCATATGGATTGGTTTATCAAGTGTGCATATGTGTTAGTAGTCCCATAAATGCCATATGGATTGGTTTGTCATGTGTGTGTGCCAGTAGTCCTAAATAGGCCATATAGATTGATTTATCAAGTTTTTGTGTGCCAGCAGTCCCACGAAGGCCATACGGCTTGGTTTATTATGTGTGGGTTTGCCAGTAGTCCCATGAAGGCCATACGGCTTGGTTTATCAGGTGTTTTTGTGTGCTAGCAGTCCCATGAAAGCATGTCCACTTTTGGACATTGTTGAGAAACTTACAGTAATGATTTAAAATAAATGTGACGTCACCAAACTTACTGCGGCTGAAACTTTTTGGGGATGTCCTGAAGTGAAAAATAACTCCAGGTGTTTAAAGGCAGGGGAAACAACTCCACTGCCACTAATAAGGATCAGTCTGCCTTTACAGTCTGCCTTTAGAGTCTGCCTTTAGAGTCTGCCTTTAGAGTGTGACTGTTTGGCTGCTGAGCTATCACACAAAGCAGTGTTCTGTAACTTCAGTGACATTCTCCCCTAGCACTTACAAAAAGAACAACAGTGTCTGAA